AAACTACATAGAGCGGTCACCCCAGAAGCCCCTAAATAACAAGCAGATGTAAATAAGGTATCAGCAATTAGAAGACCTTATTATATCAGCAACTGAACAAGGAAAAGTAACAGAACCCCAAAAGCCAACCCGTACTCAATAGAAAATGCAGTATGACAGTTTGAGAAAAGCACTTGAAATAGGGTATTAGTTTAATCTGCATGTTGAGTGAAGGGAATAAATATGCAGTAAAATGTGAAAGGGTCAAGTAGTCTAGGCCTTATGGTACAATTTGCCAACTCTAACATTCTTCAGTCAAAATCCCATGCTAGAGAAGAACTGCTGATAATAAAGTATGCATTGAATGATACGAATAGTACAGCCAGAAGAAATAGAAGTTCCAGATTAATGGGAGTAAGTATGGTATCAGATAGTCTCATGGTGTCCAAGATTTTATCTTTAAACCTGACAGAAGCTACGAAAGGGAGAAATCTAAACTGTAAAGTTAGAAAACCTATACTGAGTGACTAGTGCTGTGACACAGGGAGCTAATCCTCTGCTTGCAGTGTCAGCATCCCATATAGGTGCCAGTTCATGTCCTAGTTACTCTATCTCTGACCTAGCTACCTACTAATGTGTCTGGAAAAGAAACAGAGGTTGGCCCAAGTCCTTGGAACCCTGGAAGTGGAAGTCCTGGTAGAAGTTCCAGGCTCTTGATTTCAGATCTGGCTGTTGTGGCCACTTGTAGAGTGAACCAGCAAATGGAAGATCTTTCTCTCTCCTTCTCTCTGTAAATTCGCCTTTTAAATACAAATAAAACAAATTTTTAAGAAAGAAAGAAAATCTATACTGAGCCATGATTCCTATGTAAAAATTGGATAAAATTTGTTTCACATGGAAATGAATTGTGCAAAAAATATTCTCATGAAAACTTACTAGAAAAACGAAAACAGTGACAAAATGTCTGTGCAGTGAGAACAAGCCAGAAAGATATAACCACAAAACAAATGAAACTAATATTATTGTCAAAGAAAAATGATAAAATAGGGCCCAGCAGCGTGGCCTAGCAGCTAAAAGTCCTCGCCCTGAACGCACCGGGATCCCATATGGGCGCCAGTTCTAATCCCTGCAGCTCCACTTCCCATCCAGCTCCCTGCTTGTGGCCTGGGAAAGCAGTCGAGGACGGCCCAAAGCCTTGGGACCCTGCACCCGTGTGGGAGACCTGGGAGAGGTTCCTGGATCCTGGCTTTGGATCGGCACAGCACCAGCCGTTGCGTTCACTTGGGGAATGAATCATTGGACGGAAGATCTTCCTTTCTGTCTCTCCTCCTCTTTGTATATCTGATTTTGTAATGAAAATAAATAATTCTTAAAAAAAAAAGAAAAGAAAAAAAAACGATAAAATATATAAAAGAATACACTAATGATTTGGTTTATAAAAATTGGGAAAAAATTTTAAACTTACTAGAAGACATAATATTTCATAAAAGCAAGCGTGGGTCTGTTTTTAAATTAAAAATAAGAGATCCAGTGCCTGCATGGTAGCACAAAAGGTTACACCTTAGTTTATATACCAACATCCCGTATCAGAGTTCCAGTTCAATTCTTGGATAGTATGCTTCTGATCCAGCTTCCTGCTCATGCACTTAAGAAAGCAGAGGGTGATGGTCCAGTTTGGGCGCCTGCCACCTACAGGGGAGACCAGAATGGACTTCCTGGCTCCTGACTCAGCCTGACCCAGACTTAGCTATTGGTACCTTTAGGAAGTAAACCAACAGGTAGAAGATATCCCAGTTTTCTCTCTGTCACTTCTAATTATGCCTTCTAATTAGGGTTTGTTGATTTGTTAATTTGCTTGTTTGAAAGGCAGTAACAGTGAGAAGAGAAACACAGAAAGAGAAAGAGAAAGATCTTCCATCAGCTAGTTCACTCCCCAGATGATGGTAATGGCCAGGGCTGGGCTAGGCCAAAATTAGGAGCCCAGAGCTTTGTCTAGGTCTCCCATCTGAGTGCAGGTGCCTAAACATTTAGGCCATCTTCAGCTGCTTTTCCCAGGTGCATTAGCAAGACAAATGGATCAGAAGTAGAGTAGCCAGGATACAAACTGGTGCTCATATGGAATCCTGGCATTGCAGGCAGTGCCTTTAGCCTTTTACCTCTGCAACATTGGCCCAAAATAAACTTTAAAAAATAATAGTAATAAAAGATCTTTCCTTTCTACATCCTAATCAATTTAATCCTAGCACTATGTATCTATACCTCATATCTCGGAAGAGGAAATTGGATGTTAAGGAGAGCCATGATGGCTCGTTGGACATATGAAGGACTTCTGTGTGTATTAGTAGCTTATTTTTGAAAAGTCAGAGCTTGAGAGAAGGGAATAATATGTGGCAATGCTCAGAGCCAAGTCAACAGGGATGGTGGTAGAGACAGGTCATAGATCACAAAGAGATTGCTCCAGTTAAGTTTCTATGTTGCTAATGTTATCTATGATTTTCATTGTTGAGGGGCATAGTTGGAGGTATGCAAAGAGAAAAAACCCTAAATTCTGTATTACTAGGTTAAAAATGAAGAAATCAGTATGAACTCAGGGCTTTTAATTTATGTAGCTGTAAACATAGCTCTAAATGTCTATGTATAGATACATACTTGTACACAAGGGAACTTCAGAAGTTCATGAAAAATTAATTAAGGTATAAGTATTTGGATATAAAGAAATTTTGAGGGCCCGGCACGGTAGCCTCTTGAACTTTTTGGATGTCATTATGTACATTGATATCAAAATTGTACCAAAAATTTTGTTCAGCACCCTCGTTTGTTTATGCACACACACACACACACACACACACACACACACACACACACACACACACACACACACATTTAACACTCTTCTAATTGTGCCACTTAGAGAGCCTGGTCTCAGTACCACCCCAGTACAAGTGAGCTGACCTAGTGCCAAAATCTTGCCTTGCAAATACTCTTCCCTAGTAAATTTACCACAGATTGGAGAAAATGGCTGATTCCACCCTGTGAAGCACTGATTATTCTGTAGTTTCCTGTGCTGGAAATCGACAAGCACTCAAGAAATGATGAAAACATGGCAATGGGGCACAAAACAAGACTTCAAATAAAATGCCAGACATTAACCTACTGAATAAATTAAGGAAGCATGAGTTCTTGCTAGTGTAAGTTTAGTGAAAAGATTTGACAATAGTAGAGAAATACACAGTTTGAACTTCTTTGCAAATGGCAAAATTAACTTTATAATGGAAAAACCTGTTTGTAATGTTATCAAAGTTAAGAACATTAATAACATTAATAATGACATAAATCATAATTGTGTACCACTTGATAGAATACATTTGAAAGAATAGAACAGCTGTTTTGTAATATTCTTGCCAAAGTTGTATAATCTCAATATAATCATGTAGACATGGACAAATTCACATTGAGATATATTTTCCAAAACAAAGATACCTACTTAGAAAAATAATGTGAAATTTGAAAGGCAGCTTTTAAATTAGAAGATAAAAAGAAGCAAATGAACATAAATATGTATCCTTTTGGCAGCATTAATACACAAGAAAAAACTATTGCAAGTTACCTTCAAGCAGTAAGTCAGTGTTACATCTCTAGTGGATTGTACCTATGAATTTAAAAAATTTAGGGGAAATAGCTGTTTACAGTAAGTGCCAGGAGGGATCTGGCTGTTCACATTTGTGAATGTTAAAGTATAAAAAATAAACTAAGTCATTATGCAGTGGTCAATTGTATTATTTCCTGTTTCTTAAAACTCTTTGCCTATGGAATTGTATCATAAATTAAAAATAAAATAAAAGGAAAAAAACTCATTCTTCATATATAAGAAGTCACATGTAAATGTCAGATAGATTAAGTAAAAACCCCATAGTACTAATTTATAGTTTACAGAACTAGTATAAATCCATAATGTGCTTTGTATTTAGATATGTATTTAGCTTGGTTTTTCTGTCTGCATTTGCCATAGGTTCTGTTTATTGAGTTGCAAGGCATACATTGTATTAATCTATTGGTCTTAGTTTTGTGTTACGTTCTTTTGAGAATAATAGAAGAATATTTCATTAGATATAATTGATAATTTTTAATTGTTTTGTGAGTTTTTCAGCAAATTCTTAGATTTGGTTGATCTTAGTATTCATGTAATGAAAGGCAGAGTAAGCAGTCATCATGTTTGCTCTTAACCTGTAGTATCACCTTGAACTGTACCAATTCCCACAGAAACTGTTTATTGTAAGACTGGCTTTAAAAAAATGAAATTTGATGTGACCTAATTGTTTACAAAAAAATTTGTTATAAAGATAAGTATGTATAACTGTGTAGCTACAATGTTTTGGAAAAAGTAGCTAAAGTTTTTGTCATTACTAGATTGTTATTTATATGATATACTTTCAAATAGTCCATCTTCCAAAAGCATACTTGTTTTTGTCTGAAAAACATTTTAAATGAAAATGTTTGATGTACTTCAGATTGCTTTTGTATCTTGGCAGTTTGACAATTTATTAATAACAAAATGAATTAAATTTAGTTTCAATTGTTACTTCAAGATATATTCTTTCATTTATCATTGACCCTGTACAAGTTCTATATTTAAGAATGTAAGATTAAGTGATTCTCTCAAAGGGAAGAAGTCAGTAAATAAAGCATCCAGTAAATTCTTTCTTTTCCAATAAAATGAGAATAGATCCTGATTTTTTAATTATTTGAATTAGTACTGTAAGATTGTTAATTCCATCTCATGCATAGAAATTGTCTTTCAGTTGACTGTCATTTGAACCTTAGAATAGCACAAGGAAAAATTCTCAATTCTACTTAATTGATACACTTTGTTTTTGATTCTTATGTTGGATGAAATATAGATTACTATTTTAGGGTTCTAACATTTAGTCAGCATTAGGACAGTTTGCATTTTTAATACTTTATCTTCAACTAACGTGTTAAGATTATAAAATATGAATTTAATTTTGTTTTTCTTCCTTCAGAATACAGTCGTTTTGAAGCTAAAATACATGACTTACGGGAGCAGATGATGAATAGTAGCATTAGCTCAGGGTCAGGTTCTCTTCGAACTAGCCAGAAGCGATCTCTCTATGTCAGGTAAATTTTTTACTACTAATTTTGACAATCTTTAATGACTTGTACATGCAGATTCTTTCAGATTTATTATTATGACTTAATTAACTATATGAAATGGATTGCAAATCATGAATTTCTTTATAATTGGTTTCCTGACAGTATGCCTTTCAAGAGTAGAATATTATTTTAATGGTATTAATTAAAAACTAAAGAAAGATATAATAAATGTGAATTGGAATTTTTTAGATTGATGTTTTAATAGTGGCTTAATGTCATTTTATCTAACATTTAGATTTCTCTATTTTTTTATAGAATAATTTTTATTCCTATAACATTTAATTACCATGACAGTTAACTTAATAGCAAGGAGAACAGGTGTAAATATTAATTTAAAATGTGAATAGCCTCAGGAAACACTTATATCCTTAAGTGTTTGTGAGGAAATGCATTCCTTCCTGACATGTAAGATTAATGTGGCAAAATAGATACAATAATATTAGGTACAATTGTGTATTAGAGTAAAAGTTTCTTTTCTCATTTCATTGACTATAAAATTTAAAATAGAAATCTCATTTTTACCCTGCAAGGGTACTTCTTTTTTTTTTTTTCTTGTCCTAAAAATGTTGTTAATGTATATGCAGATTATGAATAATTGTGTTCATTAATAATCTGCATATATTATATACTATTAATAATCTGTATGTGTTTTTATATATATATACTATTAATAAAATGCAGGTTTCATACATTCCATACAATTCCAAAAAGACAACCACACTTGCCTCCCTCCCTTTTTCTATCACTCAAATATAGCCTTATCACTTACAGTCATGTTACTGTGTAATGGTGGCTATCATTACTTCAAATAGTACTTTATGATCATGCCACCTTTCCTCTGCTGCCCTTCATTTTTCCCGGACTTCATTGTCTCACAGTCTCATTTTCTTATTTCACCACATACTACTATTTTTCAGTGACTTTCTAGTTTTTACATGATAAAACATATGCCATCAAAAAAAAATGTTTAAGGTTTATTTTATTCATTTGAAAGAGGCACAGACAAAGGGAGAAGCAAAAAGGAAAAAATCAAGCCTCCATCCACTGGTTCACTCTAAATGCCACAAAAGCCGAAACTGGACCAGAATAAGCTAGGAGCTTCTTCCAAATCTCCCACATGGTTAAGGATGTCCAGCCCTTGGGTCATCTGCTGCTTGCCCAGGGAGCTGGATACAAAGTAGAGCAGCCATAACACAAACCAGTGCCTGTATGGGATGCCAACATCAAAGGCAAAAGCTTTACCCACTACACCACAATGCCAGCCCCAAACATCAAATTGATTTATTTGAAAGGGTGATAGACAGTTTTTCTATCCACTGCTTCACTCCCTGCATGACCACAACAGTCAGGTTTAAGCCAAGTGCCACCAGTTTCATGAAGGTCTTCCACTTGAATGACAGAGGCCAAGGATATAATTCATCTTCAGCTGTTTTTCCCAGACCATTAACAGAGATCTGGGTAAACAGTGGGGCAGCAAGGACACAAACTAATGCCCACCTGGGATGCCAGGGGTGACAGCTGTACCTGCTGTTGCCACAATGCTGGCCCCAAGAAATGAATTCTTAAAAGTCGAGTAGCATGAAAAGATTATGACTTTTGTTCTTATTTCCAGTTGCCAAGTTAGAACAAAAGAATGAATAAATCATTATATGCATGTACTTGCTGTGTGATTCCTGTAGTCTTTAGAGAACTTAGTTGGACTTAACAATTTAGTTTAAATGCTTTGTATTAACATTGTTTTCTTTTTATCAGATTTTAAGTATTTTTATGAAATATTGGCAAGTGATAAAGCCATCTATACTTTTCTTCATGGATGTTGATTCTGAAACCCTGTTAACTCTAGTTGTGTGAATACGTAGAAGGAATAAGTAGCTGGCAGAACGACCACTGTGTCAGTCTAGTCTTATAGCCTATAACTAATAAATCTATCAGGAGTTTGTTTTCCTCAAGTATCTAGTCAGAATAAACGAAAGAGTATCTCTTATGTTTACTTGAAAATTTTTTTGTTGCTTACCTTTGATTTGTTAAGAACATCTCTAGCTTTGTCTTCACTTTCAGTTCCATTATAGATTGTCCCTGATTGTACTAAAAGTGTGTAAAGTTTCTTCTGCACTCTCTTCCAAATCTGATTTAATCTTCAAAACAACTACTCTTTTTCTCCTTCCCCATCCCTCTCTCCCTACCTTGTCTCACCGCCTCCCTTATCTCTCTACCCTGTAACAATGAAAGAAACTAGCTAATATATGTAATTACTAATAGTTCGTGACAAGCTGTTTTGCTGTTTCTATTTTGTCATGTCATCTTGTATACTCATAATGAAAAATAGAACTTGGCATTATTTTATCTGCTACAGCATATTATATCATTATCAACCCAAATTATATACCTTCAGAATCATGTTATTTAATATTATTAATACTATAATAAATGATTATGAACTTTTTCTTCTGAATCTAGAGCCCTTTTTGATTACGACAAGACTAAAGACAGCGGCCTTCCCAGTCAGGGATTGAACTTCAAATTTGGAGATATCCTCCATGTTATTAATGCTTCTGATGATGAATGGTGGCAAGCCAGGCAGGTTACACCAGATGGAGAAAGTGATGAAGTTGGAGTGATTCCCAGTAAACGCAGGTAACTGTTGTTTTTTTTTTACCACTTGAAAGTAGAATAACATTAATAGTTTCTGTTTTGTCTAATTTTTTTATTTGTTTAAAGTTTTAGTGTTTTTGCACTGCATTACTTTATTAACAGAATCTTTTCTTTTCTTTTTTTTTTTTTTTTTTGGCTATTTTTGTTTCTGGGGTAAGGAGAGAGATAAAAGGGAAGCTACACCCAGCTTCCCAGTCAGTACCCAGGGATGGGAAACTGCCACACAATATCAACACAGAATCTCAAAGTGTATGTGTTTTGAGGGTTCTGCCAAGAGGTTTGAATAGTTCTGAAATGCTGTCAATTTTGCCAGTCAAGTATGATGCAGCCCTCCCAATGTCCATTGGCTGGAATAGTCAACCTCAAGTCTCCATTCACCAGATTTTTTTTTTTTTTTTTTGGTCATCATTTGGCTTAGGTAGTTGTCCAATTTATTCTGTTCTGCTGCTGCGGTACCAAATGGGCTGCCATATTCTCCATATGTGTCAATTTCTGCATCCACTACTCCACCTTTTTCACTGAGGAAGATATATTGCAGGCAGGCCCAAGGACTGGGAAAGACAGATATTGTCTTTTATATTGTATTTTGTAGGGAGAAGGGGAAATGGTAAGGCAGTGGTTAAGATATGAGAACTTTCAGTTATACCAGATTAATAAATTCTGGAAATCTGTCATACAGCATGGAGAACTTAATTAACAGTGTTGTACTGAGTATTTGAAATTTACTAAAAGTAGATTCTGAATGTTCTCACCTCCCCCTTAAAAAAAATGATGAATGTGAGGTGATAGGTAACCCTAGTCAGCTTCATTATATTAGTTAAGGTAAATTAATATGCACTTAGAAGTATATGGAAGTATGCTTTACATTTCTTCTATTTTTTATTTATGTGTATTGATTTCATCCACTGGTCTTTATTTTTTTTTTTTTAACTTTTCTTGTGAATAGTTCACTGGCACATTCTTACCATCTAGTGGCAAAAGTGATTAAGTGCAGGCTGTCTTTGAAAAAGACATGATCCCAGCTTAAGAGAACCCCTTCAAAGGTTTATGAAATGCTATTAAATGCCTTATTTCTATTGGAAAACAATAACATATCAACTCTTAATTCCTCCAAGATAGATTATGTATAGGATTCAATTCATCTAAATCATTGTCTAAAAGATAAGGTTTTAGTTTTAGTTTTTGGTCACTTTTACATGTAGAAATACTGCTGCTTCGCAATCATACAGAAATACTGCTGGTTTGGTTTGGTTACTTTGTGTAAAAATATATATATATTCTGTATATATATATATATATATATATATATACATACATACATATATATATCTGTGAGATTGTCTTAAAGCAAAGGGCCCGGCACAATGGCTCAGTGGCTAAAATCCTCCTTTGCACAGGCCGACATCCCATATGGGCACCGGTTTGTGTCCTGGCAGCTCCACTTCCCATCCAGCTCCCGGGCTGTGGCCTGGGAAAGCAGTAGAGGGCACCACCAAAGCCTTGGGACCCTGCACCTGCATGGCACACCTGGAGGAGGCTCCTGGCTCCTGGCTTTGGATCAGCTCAGCTCTGACCATTGCAGCCATTTGGGGAGTGAACCAGCAGGTGGAAGATCTTTCTCTTTGTGCCTCTTTCTGTAAATCTGCCTTTTCCAGCAAGATATATAGATCTTTAAAAAAAAAAAAGATTGTTTTAAATAACTAATATGAGAGATAATGTGAGAGCTATACCCATCCCCAAATTAATTATCATGAAGTCATATCATAGTCTAATTGTTATCCTGTAAAATTCAATATGAAACCACAAGTACTTATGCCATTTTGTTCTTCAATGTATTCAGACATTGTACTTTTGTAAGTAGAACTACCTTCTTCGGAGACCTCTCCACTGATAATATCAGAAAGAGTTAAAGTCCTTCCAACTCTAGAGTTTGTTTCAGGAATAGCATTTGCAGTCACTATTTTAGTCACTCAAATTTTTACTTAGAATATTATGATTAATACAAACTGTTTTGTGTTATAAATGCCTATTCATTAAATGATAGTTTTAAGATTTTCTTGAGGGCCTGGTGCACTGGCCTAGTGGCTAAAGTCCTCGCCTTGAACGCACCGGGATCCCATATGGGCTCCGGGTCTAATCCCTGCAGCTCCACTTCCCATCCAGCTCCCTGCTTGTGGCCTGGGAAAACAGTTGAGGATGGCCCAAAACCTTGGGACCCTTCACCCATGTGGGAGACCTGGAGGAAGCTCCTGGCTCCTGGCTTTGGATTGGCGCAGCGCCAGCCGTCGCAGCTCACGTGGGGAGTGAATCGTTGGATGGAAGATGATCTTCTCTGTATCTCCTCCTCTCTGTATATCTGACTATGCAATAAAAAATAAATAAATCATTTTTTAAAATAGATTTTCTTGACAATTACCCAGGCAAAATAGTAAATTATTTATGTCTAAAGCCTTAGGGTTTCTCTGAAATAGTGAAAAAAATCTGTTTTAAATATGTGAGTACTAAGGTTCTTCTTCTATACCCATAATAAAGCTACATAGATAATTTAAAAAAACGCTTTTATTCTTTGGCTGTTGAAGTAGGTGTGGGAGGCCTTTCCCCACTTCACTAGTTGTTAACATTTAGCCACATTTGTTCTTTTATTTTAAGCATAATTTTTAGCATGTGTTATATACTAAACTAATATTTAAATTGAAAGCTAAGAAATAGATAAACTAAAATGGTGCCTCATAACACTTCCAATGTAATTATAAAATTGAGTGCTGTGTAAATATATGTGTCAGTAAATTTTGATACTACATAAATCGTTTTGGTTTTTTACTTGATGAGCCCAGAGTTCATTTTAAAGAAATTCTAATTAATTTTCAGATATAAATCTGTCTGGATTCTAAAGGTTTTAGAGTGTTAAAATGCCTATTCTGAAGTTACCAGTTTTTGTGATTTCTATTTTGACCATGAGATATATGTGGCTTACTTAGAAATAACACTATATTTTGATAGGGTTGAGAAGAAAGAACGAGCCCGGTTGAAAACAGTAAAGTTCAATTCTAAAACAAGAGGAGATAAAGGGGTGAGTATGTGAAAACTCATATATCTAGAATTGAAAATTGAAGATAAAAGGCCTTTTCATAGTGTTTTTAATGTTTCTACATTATTAAAATAAGGATTTTATTGTATGATTTAACTGTGAGACATTAAAGTAAGCATTTATCAAATCACAGTACCCATTTAACAGATCTTTCCAAATTATGAGGCTATCATTTGATAAATTCTAGCAAAATGATTTTTGACTAGCCATTCTTTTACAACTGGAACAGATTCAACCTTTACTCAGATATATAATTGGAAACTTGTATTACCAAGTGATATAGTGTTGTTAACTAAGTTATTTGTTTGCAAGTTGTACTTCAATTATGGAAACTCGTTTGTTCTTATTTTTATTCCTAATAAAATTTCTGAGAATTCATGTTTTACATGTTGAAACCAATGTGCATTTTTATATGGAGAGAGTAAGGAAAGTGACAGGCAAGAGGAGCGCTTTGTGGATAATCAAGAAATATATAAAAATTATTTAATATAGATTTTAATGAATGTTTTTTGTTTTATGTTCTGCTTAGATATAATATTTTTTTTATTTTTTTAATCGGAAGGGCTTGGAGGCTTTATTGCATACTGTATAGTTCTAGTTATCCTGAACTTGTTGCAGTGGAATATTTTGACACTAAGTCTGAAGACAGGCTATTCACATGTTGTTCTGAATGAAGTACTATCTCATAGTAATATTTTATGTTTGGATTCTTTTTCATTCTAGAGCAGAATTTTTTATGATATTTGAAATAAATGTGGAAAATTAGCCACTACATTCACTGCATACATCTGAAATCAATAAATATTCTAACTTAAGGTTTTAAAATTTAAATGACAAATATGAACTTTGTCCAAGAAATTAAATTTGACTCACTTGTATAATATATTAAGCTCATTTTTTCAGAAGTGATAAATTTCTTTAAAATTGTAGCCTTTGAGAAACATAAAGTATGATGTGAAGGAGTATTTAAAATAGCAGATGCTAATATTTCAAATGAGTACAATGCTTTTGTGCTTGTTTTATGTATGTCTTTAAAAATAATTTAGTACAATACACTGTCAATGAATTGAAAAAGAGGTTGCATGATGTAACTTTTCTTTCATACTATAAGATGGTAACTAAATTAACAATATATTTAAATCTCAGTCTTGTTTGTTGACTGTAACCAACCTTATACACAATTACTGTGGTTCTAACACAGCACCAAGAGTTTGCATGATACCAAGTGGGGTAAAAATACGCTTGCCATTGATACAGAACTGCATTACTTTCAATAATACCATTTCCTATTGCTCCTTTTCCTTTCCTGTTATGGTGATTTGTGGACTTATTTTCACTAAAGACTTAAAACATCTCAGTTTCTCAATAAAAATTTTAACATTCATTTGGTTATTTTGTAATATTACATATGGAAATGTCTCTGCATTAAATGTGTCCTGAATTTGTGATATTCTATCAGTGCTTGCATTTATTGCACTCTTTCTCTTTCAGTGCAGCATTAATAAGCAATTAAATGCTATATTGTGATTGAAAATACAGAGAAACTGGAGGTAGCATGTCTCTTCAGTTTTGTATTTCTCTGCACATTTTTGTCCTGTTTGCTTCTGCTATTTATTTTCATGTTTAATAAATTTTTCACCCAGAGGATATTAAATGTAAAGCAATTAATACATTTCTTAACTAACAATAATTTCTTTCTGTCCTTATTATGATATCTTTATGATATCTCATTTTGGCTGGAATATCATTTTGGCTAGCATTAAAGTTATCAAATCAAAACATTTTAAACTTCATGTTTCTTTTGGTTATTTGCTGTGAAACTGACTCTGACCACTATATATGCAGTGAAGGGTATATATATATAACCTTTACTTAAAAATACTAATTTTTGCAGATTGAAAACATGTTTAAATTCAAAATCAGTGATTCCTATGAACAAAAAGGTTTAACCCTTCTTTAAATCATATTATTAGTATTTCTCCATTGAAACAATTTTTTCTGTTTTCTAAAATTTGAATCCACGCAAAAATTTTTATTCAGACAATGCTACTTGACCGTTTATAAAATAATTATAAACACAGATTTCTCCACAATACCATTTTCTCATCAACAAAGTTTTTACTTTCTGGTTAGAGTTCTTTTATCTAGTTCCATGGAGACTTCAAAACTTATACTTGAAATCAAGACAACCTATTTGGCTGACAAACTGTGAACATATTCTATCCTCAGTTATTGATAGGAAAAAGTAAAGAGAAAGTTTAACTTTGCAAAGATCCTTATAATAAAAATCTTCCTTTGCCTCTTTATACAATTGGAGGTAAAAATGAGTTGAGTCTGCTTTACCTTAAACACCTTGGATCCATGCTTAGAAATAAGAACATGTTAAAAACATAGTGCCTGCTGCTGACAGCCTTTAAATAACTGTAACAATATCCTCTCTACCTCTCCCTAAAGGGTATGTTCCAACACTGCCAGTCAGGGTCTAAACTAAACCCTGTATATGTTCTCTTTTTTTTTTTTTCTATATGCCTTCCCACATATCTGTGACAAAGTTTAATTTATAAATTAAGCACAGTAAGAGACTAACGATGATAACAGTGTAACATTCTGTATAAAATGAGTAGCATCACTAGGGTGACTTGAACAAAGCACTGCGCTACCACAACTATTGATCTAATAACCACTGGACAGATAGCATATACTGTGTTAGGAAGAAAGGCACAAAATAGAGAGGAAATGGGATACACACTCACTGCCAGAAGATATTTACTAAAGAGAAAGAAATTTGCGGAGGAGCTCAACTGCCTGTGTGTATGAAGCCAAGCTCACGGCAGAGGCCTGGTCCTCCAGCAGACTGCATCTTACAAAGTTTGGGAGATGACGTCAGAGTACTGTAGGAAAGGCAGTGGGTGAGTTTTCAACCCCAGTAGGCCTTCCTCTCTTGGGGCCTGGTGATTGGAAAAGAATGCCAAGGGTGAGATGGGGAACAGTGTAGGGAATGAGTTTGAACTGATTTTTGGAATTCCTGAGAAGGGGAGATTGGCTCTGCCTTCAGGTACGGTGCTAAATAGCCAAGGAGCTATCAAAGTCTGAGGCTTATATCCTGCTCGGTCAGGTTAGTTACACAAAACAAAGGGCTGATTCATCCATACGTAGGATGGTTATGAGCTTTTATCATGCTACTCAGACTCGTGCAATTTAAAAATTATGAATTGTCTGTCTCTAGAATTTCATTTAATATTTTTAGACTGTAGTTGACCATGGTAACTGAAATTGTGGAAAGCAAACCATGGATAAGGCCTACTGTAGCATCCTATGATATGAATGCACTCAAAAACAAAAGGAATGGAATTTCCACCCTTTATATTTCCTTCCTCTACCTCCAAGATAATAATTTCTAGTGTCACTGATAGATTAAGGATATTTTCTTAAAAACATTAATACCTACGAGAGAGAGAAATCAGTAAGGAATCTATTCCCCTTTAGTATTAGTGCTGCCAAAGCTATTCTGCCTCAGCATTATTTATAGTGTGTGCTCTATCTGTGAATGCACAAATGGGACAATTAAGGGAAAATATTTATTTCCAATTACCTCTGCAATAATGGACATCAGATCAGCTGCTTAGTCACCTCATGACAATCATGTGTATATATAAACTACTAGAATCATAATTGCCTTTGTGGCTTTAATCACCAACCAGATTTATTCTCTATGCAGCATGTGGATTGGGTATGGTTCAGTTGTTATAGCTATGCTTTTTAAATGGGTAATTATAAGGGCCAGCATTGTAACATAACATGTTAACTCACAACCGATAGTGCTGGCATTCCTTATGCGTGCCAGTTTGAATCCTACTCATCCAACTCCCTGATAAACGCACTTGGGAAAACAGCAGAAAATGGCCCAAATATTTAGGTGCCTGCCTCCCCACATGGGCACTGCCAGTGGAATTCCAGGTTCCTGGCTTTGGCTCGGTCCATCCTCAGCTACTGCAGCCAGTTGGAGAATAACCAGCAAATAGTTGATCTTTTCTTTCTGTCTCTCCCTTTCTCACTCTAACTCTGCCTTTCAAGTACATAAAATAAATCTTTTTTTTAAGTCACTATAGTGCCTGGTGCAATAGCCTAGTGGCTGAAGTCCTCATCTTGTGTGGGCCAGGATCCCATATGGGTGCTGGTTCTATGGCCATTACAGCCACTTGGGAAGTGAAATAGCAGACAGAAGATCTTTCTGTATCTTCATCTCTCTGTATATTTGCCTTTCCAATAAAAATAAATTAATCTTTTTTTAAAAATCGTTACAGTGCAACTTAAAAGCAAGTAAATCCCTTGGAATTGCAATTAAATTGGCTAAGAGACTTCTGTTGTTTTTCGTTCACTTAGATAATAGTCATAAGTCTTTTTCCTGGATTCTATGCACTTAATGGACCTCTAAGTTTTCTGCTCATTTTCTAATTTATGCTGTAAGCTTTTAGTTATAATTGTTCATCTTCTAAAAATAAGAATGATTATTTCTAAATATTTAGCATTACCAACTTTCTCATATGTGTTTTTTACATTTTTTTAATAGTGTCTTACTAGTTCATTATGGATAAATGGAAAAGGAAAAGCTGAGATCAGGTCAAAGTGAAATAAAGTTTACTACCTAATACATAAAAAATAATTGAGCAGCAAAGTAACATTTATAATGATTTCCCATAGAGCACTTAGTACTGTGTTTGGAAATTCTTCGGGAAAAAAGTGGATTGATAGAAGCAAAGGTTAACTTAATTTGTGCTATACTAGTATTTAATCAGGCACACTTTTTTGTCAAGTAGCATTTTTTCTTGCTTTAGAATAAATAATTACATTTTTTAATTTTTTAATATTTTAATTACAGAATGCATATACAAAATTAGAAATTCATTTTATATGTAATAAAAGTAAAATTCCTACACAAAGTGCACGCTGTGGTCACAGGAGTCAGCTTCCTCAGAGCTGCTAGGCTGGGTCTTTGTTCACACAGACGGTAGACATCCCTTTGTTTTGCCCCTCCTTCTCTTCTTCAGCAGTCATTCAATGACAAGCGTAAAAAGAACCTCTTTTCCCGAAAATTCCCCTTCTACAAGAACAAGGACCAGAGTGAGCAGGAAACAAGTGATGCTGACCGTAAGTATGTGGATCCAGTGGTCAACTGAAAATAAATGTAGAGGGAACCTACTGCCCTGCAGTTGGTTGTTACCATGGAGACAGTTTCAAGAGCTGCAACAGGTTACCAATTTTCTTAACCAGGAAAATTTAATAGATGTGGATTTATTTGTATTTCAGCCTTAAATTAGGAATTCTTAATTCAAAGTAATAAATTAGATGTTTATGATTGAAATATATAAATATAAATCATTTTAAGTGAAGGTGCAATGAAAAACTTTAATGTTCATACAATCAAAGAATGTTTTGGAGAAAAAATAATGCTACCCTGTTGGTTTCTAGGTATACCATTTCCAGAATTTAATGCCAGATTTTCTGGAATCGTTTTATTCTATCCTGTTTTCCTCATTATATATAAATGACCTCAGTTTTTCTTTTAAAATTTTTTTCTCCTCTTAACCAGCCATTAAGCTAGAAATTTTTATTTGAGAGAGAGAGGGGGGCTAGATAATATTCAGCTGTTCACTCATCTCAGAATCTAGGAAATTTACAAAAATGTTCTGTAAGATATGTGTACCTGTAATGGTCTTGGAACTGTCTCTTACTGTAGCACCAATTTGATGCATTACTGACAACTATTTTCTTTGATTATCTTTTATTGCTTGCTCTCTGGGGACTACTCTCTACAGGAGATCCCTGACGACATGGGATCAAAAGGCCTGAGTAAGTGATCAAAATACTCCCAAGTTATTTTTAACCTCCATCTGCAGATCCCCCCTTTTCAGATGCAGTTTCAGATTCACAGTAGTGCCCTCTGGCAAAAGGAGGTGTATGATTTACATTGCTGTTAGACTTTTCATGTTATGACATGCTTGGGATTTTTTTTATTTATAATGCATATCATTTGTTTTTCTTATACTCTGTTTTTCACATATGACTTGAACAACTCTTCTCATATTTCCATTTTTCTTTTTGTAATTTTTAATACAGAGGCTTTTTTAACATAATACTATCCATCCTTGATATTAAATTGTGGAAATATGCTTTCTTGGAGTTTTATATCCCCCTTTTCCATTAAAATAAGTTAAAGTCACTTTGATTATATATTGGAACACTATTGCTATGATGTTAACATATGAAGCACAGTGGAAATTCAAATAATGATTTGTTTGGGGGAAGTTACATTTTTTTTTTTTAAGGAGCTAATAGATTTTGAGAAGAGTTGTAAGAAAAATTACCTTTTGTTTTTCCTTTGAGATTCTGTGGGTTTTTTTTTATTCTTATTGTTTAATTTTCTATTTAGTACTTAATCTTCATGCAAAGTTTAGCACAGAGTCTATAGCTATCAAGAGGACATTCAGTGTTGGTATGAGTGAATAAAAAATTTAATAGAATTTTAAATTTGAGTGTTTCAAATTGTTTTAGCTGAAAATTAACCAAATATCATGTAATCTTAGTTGGTAATGACTCACAGAGGTAATTTTCTCAGCTAATTTTTGTAGTTGATTCTCTCCAACTAGACCCTTTGAAAACATTTCTATTTAAAGCACTGATCATTAAGAATATAGCTAGTATCGCTTAATTTTCTTAAGACAGTGAATTTCACAGGGTTCTTTCATTTATGCTGAGTTTACACTGGACTTTTAATTTAAATTGAAGATGCTTTATTTCATTCATAGTAAAGTAAATTTCTATTACATTGAAGGTGGTTATACGTTATGTATAATTATTCTGTTATACATACACTGGCTTTTTTTTTTTTTTTTTTTTTTTATGTACCTTACTAGAATCTGGTTTCCTATTGCTAAGGGTGTCCTTTTGTTAAACTTTTAGATTTGGAGAGTTATCAGTGAAAACTTTCAAAATTGGAAAATGTTGCCACAGATTATTAATGCCATCTAATTTGAGATCTGTAACATCCTGCATAGGTGATATGGATCAGGAAAAGGATCCACCTCTTAACCACTTTTGAGTCAGCAAGAACCTAGGAAAAACCATAGAAAAGGGAATAAATCATGACATTGGTTTGTAGTGAGAGATGATAATTACAACTTTATCTTGAATCTCTAGTTCTGACAAGAGGAATAATATAAAAACTGGTGATTTATTATCAAGCAGTGTCAGAAAAATACTTGATTTTCTGGACAATGACTTAAGATGCTTTGAATAATGGACTTGTGGTTCATTTCTGAGAAATTAAAAGAACTACTCACCTAGTAATTTGGTGAGATCAGTTTTTAATTTGAAAAATATTGAAGGAGACAAGTAGATATCAGTTAAATTAGAAACAATTATCATGAAAGTCACCACATAAAACAGATCACATAAATCAACTGACAGAGTGCTCAGTATGCATTTGAAAATAGACCAACAGGACAGGGACATTCTTGTAGCCTTGGATTTCTGTTTTCTAGATTCCAGTGTTCAGAATACAGGGAATAAATCAAGCAAAATTCAGTAAAATTTTAATATAATAAAGTAAATGTGGACTTACACAGATAGTCATTAAACCTTATTGGAACTGGACTTCCTGAAGATTTATAGAAAGGTGGATTATTTCAGAGAAACAAACCTGAAGAGTGGTAAATATCAGAAAAAAATGTACATTTGCATATAAATTCAAACCTATGAAATTTAGCATAATTCGTTGAAAGGCAGAGAGAGAAACACAAGTAATATGATACATTGCTTTTTGCAAATATGAATCAGTGATCCTTTATTCAGAATTCAAATTAATGGTTTACCCTGTTGACAACAGATTGTTTTTCCAAACCTGATTTTGAGTATGAGGACTATAGAGTATGAAGTCGGGGAGAATGCAACTAAATAATATTTCTTAGCAATAAAAACCTAGGCAGCTCTTCTACTTGCGTGGGGCCATTTTGAAAAAGCTCAACAGAATAAATTTGGGTGTGAGTCAGTGAGAATAAAAGGAAGCAGGGCACAAAGTTGAAATCATTGCACACAGGTTGGAAAAAGGTTTGTTACTAGCTATTGTATGCAGCCTTGCCATTTTTGTAACTTTTCTATTATGTAGAACCCTTCAAAAGCTTGCTCTCAGGTGCATAGATTATCCAGTATATATCTCCTTCCCTTTCTTTTCATTTTAAAGACTTACTTAAGTACAGTTGTACAGAAATGTTTGATACCAAAACCAGACCTAAGGATGGTGTAAAGCTAGTAGTAGTACTTGAAATTGATGATGTGAGATTAATAAAGAATAAAGGAATGATAACACTCTTATTGAGTAAAAATATTTGAATGAAAAGATAATTCTAGTTTAGAGATTTTAAATACTTTATTCCTCAAGCATCATAAACAAGATTTTAAAAACTTGAGAAAGAATATTTATACCATGTGTATCAAAGGAGTTAAATCCTTACACTGTAATTCTTTTTTTTTTTAAGATTTATTTATTTATTTATTATTACAAAGTCAGGTATACAGAGAGGAGAGACAGAGGAAGATCTTCCATCTGATGATTCACTCCCCAAGTGAGCACAACGGCCGATGCTATGCCGGTCCAAAGCTGGGAACCAGGAACCTCTTCCTGGTCTCCCAAACGGGTGCAGGGTCCCAAAGCTTTGGGCCATCCTCGACTGCTTTCCCAGGCCACAGGCAGGGAGCTGGATGGGAAATGGAGCTGCCGGGATTAGAACCAGTGCCGATATGGGATCCTGGTGTGTTCAAGGCGAGGACTTTAGCTGCTAGGCCATGCCGCTGAGCCCTACACTGTAAATTTCTAACAGAGAAGTAAAAAGCAGGCTAACCCTCCATCAGAAATTTTGACAAGTGTTTAAAAGATAAGTGAAATAAGCATTTATTTTCCTAGAAATCAAAGAACAAAATGATGTTTCAAACCTGTCAGTTTGACACTTGTTCCTTTTAGTAGAACTTGATGATGGAAACTACTTTCAAGGTAGTATGAGAGTGTAGAGGTATATAATCTTTCTAGGAAATAATCTTTTTTAAGATTTATTTATTTGTATTGCAAAGTCAGATATATAGAGAAAGGAAGAGAGACAGAGAGGAAGATCTTCCATCTTACGATTCACTCCCCAAGTGGCCACAGTGGCTGGAGCTGAGCCATTTCGAAGCCATGAACAGGAGCCTCTTCTGGGTCTCCCACGTGCGTGTAAGGTCCCAAGGCTTTGTGCCATCCTCGGCTGCTTTTCCAGGCCACAGGCAGGGAGCTGGACGGCAAGTGGGGCTGCTGAGGCAAGGACTTCACAAGGACTTCACAAGGCTATCACACTGGGCCCAGGAATAACCTTTTGTTCCACTAACTCTTCAAGGAATTTTATTCTAAGAACATGAGAATAATTAAGAGTTGGTGATTAAGGCCTGGCACAGAGGCCTAGTGGCTAAAGTCCTTGCCTTGAACACGCTGGGATCCCATATGGCCACCGGTTCTAATCCCAGCAGTTCTGTCTCTCCTCCTCTCTGTATATCTGACTTCACAATCAATAAATTAGTTAATTAATAGATAGATAAATCTTTTTTTAAAGTTGTGATTAAAACAAACTGAGTCACATTTATTATTATTTGGGAAAGATTTTTTGAATGAAGCTATTCTAAAGTGTCTTAAAATTGGGTAATGTTTAATGAAGTATGATTTGTCCATATTTTGTTATGTTGTATAACCGTTGAAAATCATAATTACAAGGAGAAACACTAACAAGCAAATGAAATATGAAATTATACAAATGAGTTTTATCCCTGACTTTCAATTAAAGCATATCCTGGGCTATTTAAATAGTGTTGTTGAACATTCTTACACATGTTTTCTGCTGGGGAAATACCTAGGAAAAGAATTACTAGGCCAAAAGAATATAGATGTTTGTTGTCACAGAGTATCCACAAGTTTATCTTTTCATTTTAGAAAATCTGGTGTATGGTGGAGATAACTTGTCTATTATTCTTTCATCTTTTTTTTTAAGTTTATTGATTTTTATTGGAAAGTCAGGTACCAAGAGAGGATCTGAAGCCAGGAGCATGGTCCCAAGGCTTTGGGCCATCCTCAACTGCCTTCCCAGGCCACAAGCAGGGAGCTGGATGGGAAGCAGAGCTGCTGGGATTAGAACTAGTAACCATATGGAATCCTGGCGCATGCAAGGTGAGGATGTTAGCCACTAGGCTACTTACTGTCCCAGGCCTAACTTGTCTGTTCTTAAAAGATTTGTATAATTGTTTGGAAGACAGAGTTAGAAATCTTCCAGAGCCCAGCACAATGGCTCAGTGGCTAAATCCTTGCCTTGCACACACTGGGTGCCAGTTCATGTCCCAGCTGCTCCACTTCCCATTCAGGTCACTGCTTGTTGCCTGGGAAAGCAGTGGAGGATGGCCCCAAAGGCCTTAGCCATATGGGAAACCCAGAAGATGCTCCTGGTTCCTGGCTTTGGTTTGGTTCAGCTCCAGCCTTTGCTGCCACTTGGGGAGTGAACCAGTGGAACAAAGATCTTTCCCTCTATGTTTCTGTATATCTGTATATCTGCCTTTCCAATAAAGTAAATAAACATATATATCTTAATATATAATGCTTTGTAAGTTAAGACATTTATAGTTATTGATGTTTGTGATAAACAGCAAACTATAATGTCTAAATATAAATATAAAGAGGTAAAGAAAGCATACATCAACCCAACAGAATCTTACGTAGTTTGAAATAAGAATGTTGAGGTATATGTACTAACATGAAAAGAAATTTCAAGGGCAGACATTTAGCATAGCCCCTAGGCACCCCGACATCCCGAATTGGAGTGCCTGGGTTCAGGTTCTCTGGTCTTGATGCTGGCTTCCTGCTGGTACACAGCCTAAGAGGCAGCAGAAAAGGCTCCCATGTTGGAGACCCAGATTGAATTCCCAGTCTTACCTGTTCCATGCATTTGGAGAGTGGTTGACAAAACTATGCTCACTCTCATCCTTGCTCCCTTGCTGCCTTTGAAATAGATAAAATAAACATTTAAAACAAAATATTAGCTTAAAAGAAGATATCATTTGTGTGATTGTCATTGCAGATAACTTTTGTAAATGTTTGCCTTTTGCAGGTTAGAGTAATGCATTTTACACTATGATGACAATTCAAGAATTTTTTAATTTGAAGTTTTAACTTCTGTCTCTACTTTCCAGTAGTGCTCCCTAACTTTAGGAGACCCATGGATGTTCTTACAGATACTTACTCCCAAATTTTGTCTTTTTCCTTAAAAAAGAAGTCTTTCCTTTCTTTTACAGGAAAAAATATAGATTTCACTTTTACTGAAAGCTTGATTTCCAGTGTTTTTCAATAACAATATTAGTCTTGTTTACTGTTGAAGGAATGTATTTATTGAAGGAATATCCAATATTCCATTTATGTGTATGAGAAGAGTGCCTACTGATTTTCTGGCAGTTCAGTTATGAAGTAGGGTCTCTTATGAAGGAAAACAAAATTGTTTTCAGTTAAATATATTTTGTTGTTATGTTTTGATTATAAAGATGTAATCCTACCGTCTAAAATTCCATTCTATTTTAACTTTTTGAGCATTTGAATTTATGGTATCTAAAATACAGTGTATGATCTCAGAAACTTGGATTTTCGTTATCTTCAAGAACAAGAGAAGCTGTACTAAAAATCCCACCATTTATTTATTTATTTTCAGTTACAAAGACATCCCTTTATAAAAATGGACATCTAGTATGCTATAAACGTAACTTGTCTCCTAAGCCATTGTTTCTGTTTCACAGACTAAATTAAGTGATGCCAACTACATTTCCTCTTTTTGAGGTTTGGATTTACATAGGACTAATTTAAAATTGCTTTGTCCTGTTTGTCATATATTGTATGTGATTTGTAATATAAATTATATTCATAAGCTGTTTTACAAAAATAAAGCTTTGTTCTTAATTTCAGGTATTCTTCCTTACTATTCATGTTCATTTGAAAATATTTAATTTTTCAAAGAAAATCAAAAATGTTTGTTTAAATTGATTTGATATATGTGGTTTATATTTCAACATTTCATAATGTTTTTATTTTGATAGTTTTCTGTTTTAAACTTATGATGCTTTTTTTTTTCATTATCCTGCAATTTCAGAGCATGTAACTTCTAATGCCAGCGATAGTGAAAGTAGTTACCGTAAGTGTTTAAAGTAACTTATATTTTATAATCTCAAAGTAATAAATATCCTTTGGGAGGGATCGATAGTGTTAAATTTCATATTGAAATGCTTAAATTTTTTTAAATATCTATGTTATTTGCAAGTTACGGAGAGAGAAAGGAAAACAAAGAGAAGAAGAGACACAGATCTTCCATCCATGTTTCACACTCAAATGGCTGCAACAGCCAAGGCAAAGCCAGGAGCTAGGAGCTTCTTCCTGGTCCCTCATGTGGGTGCATGGGCCCGAGCACTTTGGCCATCCTCCACTGCTTTCCCAGGCACACTAACAGAGAATTAGAGTGAAAGTGGAGCAGCTGGGCCTGCAACTGGTGTTCATAAGGGATGGCATGGTAATGGCAGGTGAAGGTTTTTTCCCTCCAAGCCATAAAGCTGGCCCCAAATGCTTGTTATTTTTGAATCTGTATCACTAAGTAATATTCTGTTCTTCAGGAAAAAAAAAAATCATGCTACAGTTTAACATCTATAGTCTTCAGATTTGAAATCTAAAGTGTGCCATCCAGAATTTGCAGTTTAGTCTTCAGAAACCTTTTGAATTTTGAACAGTTTCAGATTTGGAAATTTCAGATTAAGGGTGCACATCCTGTTTCAAAACGCAAGAAACTAAAGGCTGCAAAAGCTGAAAAACTTCTTCTTTAGGCATTTCCCTATAAGAAACCTCAACCCATGCAATTGCTGAGATTTTCAAAGTTTTAATACTTTAAAATCCTTATTATAACCAGTATTATGTGTATACACAGTACATATTGCTGTGTACATAGCTTTTATAAGAAAAAACAAGTATCTCCATGAGAGTAAACTAGTACTTTGACATTTGTTTGATAAATGTTTTTAACCTAAGCACTAAAATATTTTTCAGAAAAACAAACTATACTTAGCTTTATTTCCTTTCTTATTCTGTGTCAGCAGTATAGATAGAGATCACAGCTTTTGGTGAATATAAGAAATAAAGAAGGAAAAATTTCTAAGGATTGCTCAGAAAATAATACTTTTGTGTATTATATTCTTGGTATAGCAAAGCAATATGTATGAGCATATTTTTACACAGTTTTAGGCATGGGAGAATGGGAAAGTTCATGAATATTACCAATTCTAGCACCTTAAAAATTAAAATTCTTTTCAACCTTTTCTTTCACTGCTGTCTAATATGAAAGTAATCTTGATTACAGATGAGTATGGCTGCCCACAAGGTCCATCATGTTAAATACCAGTCCCTAATATTTTTTCATGTTGACAATATATACTTTTAGCCCTCGTTCATTTGGTTAGTTATTTCTTTTACATAAGTTAATTAATCATTTTTTATGTAGGAATATGATATTTTTATTTTGGCATTTTTATTAACTAGAACCCATTACAGAGTAGTTGAGTGGCTTTCTAGACTAAAATGAGGTAATGAAAGTATATACTGTCTCTCTCACCATTTGCATGAATTAAGATGTGGAATATATTCAAATTGCATGTTTTTGCTAGTATGTGAACCATGTTTTTTATATCCAATACTTTGAAAAACAACTTATAAAGTATTTGTTTCATATATTTCAGTCAGGTTATTGAAACAAAGAAGTATAGTTCTAAATCAAGAAACAATGCTTGTGCAGTATGAATTTTTAAAAGCAAGCTGCATATGTACAGTATGATTGCTTTCATTAACACTTGGATGAACACTCTTTCTGAGTTTATTTTCTGTATGTGTTTATGTGTGTTAAGAACACTTGGAACTTGGAACTTCCTAATTCTTCTGAATGAATTCAAATTTGACTTGCAGACTTCTAATTTATTATATTTCCTAAGCTGTAAGCCTTTAATAGACTTCTTAAGTGCTTGTAAAATCAAAGCATTCACCTCCGTTAGTACTGATTCATTTTGTAGGAAAGGAAGGATATTGCTGTATCTAAAGTTCTTTTTAATTCACTTTTTTTTAAGATCTATTTATTTTGTTGGAAAGTCAGATATACAAAGAGGAAGAGAGACAGAGAGAAAGATCTTCTGTCTGCTGGTTCATGCCCCAAATGGCCGCAACAGATGGAACTGAGCTAGTCCATAGTCAGGAGCCAATTCCAGGGCTCCCACGTTGGTGCAGGGTCCCAAGATCTTGGGCCATCCCCGACTGCTCTCCCAGGCCACAGGGAGCAGGAGGGGAAGCGGGGCCGCCAGGACATGAACTGGCACCCGTATAGGATCCTGGCACCCACAAAGCGAGAACTTTAGCCTCTGGTCTACTGCACCAGTCCCCTTTTAAATTCACTTTAGATGCTGATATTTTAAATTGAATTCATGAAATTTGGTGAAATAATAACATCCTTACCTTTGTATTTACAGTTTTTAAAAGTAAGATTATTGTAGTTACCTTAAAAATAAAATTAGTCTGATAAATATTACAGTTGGTGATGCCAAAAAAAATCATTTTAAGTAGCAGTAAATTAACAAATATGCATATATGAAGAACTACTAAAACTACTAATGTTTGAACGGTTTAATAGTTCCTAACTCTAAATTTAAGAAGTAGCATATACTCAGTATCACAAATGTAGATTTTAGTAGGTTGAATGATAATCTTTTAAAATCACAAAAATATTATTGAATAAATAGCACACATCATTTTGTATTAAACCTTATGACTATAATTTGCAACGTTTTTTACTAAACATTGTCATCATTAATTTATGAAAAAAAGTACCATTTTCGAAATCTGTACCATTTTACAGGAAAGTCCTACTTACTGATAGGTATATATGAAGAATTAGACTAGTAGTATCTTTTCAGATTTTCTCATCTATGCTTTACCTTTTTAATAGGTGGTCAAGAAGAGTATGTCTTATCTTATGAACCAGTGAATCAACAAGAAGGTTTGTGAAGCTTGTTCATCTTTTATATTCCTTTGGAAAAATACATGTCCAATTCACGCCTTTAAAAAAATATTAGAATTTGACTTATCACACAGATATACACAAGGGTACTTAAGAAAGTTCATGGAAAGTGGAATTAAAATAAAATTAAGGGATAAGTTTATTTTGTTATAAAAAATATTCTGAAATCCATTACATAGCTGTTTATAATACACTTTTTCCATGTACTTTTTGCCAGATTCATTTCAAAATCTTTAGTACCACAGTAAACTTGAGCCCATTGTCCGTTAACTCCTTTAAGTACCCTCATATTTATAGAAATGTACAAATATATTTGTTTTATGAACTACAGTTTAGCCCTAATTTTTATATTGGTATTTTCTAAGTAAATTTTTTTCAATATTTGAAATAGTATTACTGTCTTTCCAGTAATCTTTCTGAAAATCTTGGAAACATCTTTGACCTTTCTCTGTTCCTTGTCTTCGTGCAATTATGTTCCAAGCTCAATTTATTCTACTTTCATCATATCTTTCTTATGTATTATCTCCTTTTCCTTCTGAAAGAAACTTATGTATTTGAAAAGCAGAATTACTCTGAGAGGGAAAGACAGAGATCTTCCATTGGTCTGCTCCTCAAATGAGCCGTAGGCTGGGCCTGACCAAAGTCAGGAGCCTGATCAGGTCTAACGTGATTTCAGGAGCCCAAGTACTTAAGTCATCTTCCACTGCTTTAACAAGCATGTCAGCAGGAAGCTGAATAGGATGTGGAGCAGCTGAGACTCAAACCAGCCACACCACAACCCCAGCCCCATGACCTCCTCTTCATCCTCCCTACCACAGTGTTAGTTCTCACTAGCAAGTCCCTTCTTTCCGCATTGAACCCCTGATAATCCAACTCATACATGACTGTTATCTTACTGTGATTTTAGCCCTGCCCACACCCAGTTTCCATTTTATGCTTCCTTACAAATTCTACTTCAGAACTTACATGTAAAACACTGTGTATTCCTATTTGTAGTAAGGTAATGTTAACAGTTCATAGAAACATCAGCTAAAATGCTATATTTGTTTTATTATCAAGTACTTGATATCTAGCAGGAAACTGAATCAAGGTCAAGACCTTAATAATAGTTTATTAAATAGCAGGTTAGGCATCTCTGATTAATGGTCCAGTGATATGAATAAAAAAGAGAAAATAAATTATTCAAAAGAGTTAATGTTTTGATCTCCAGTGTAATGAAATAGCTTCGTTTTCATTGAATGTTATTGCTTTTAACATGCAGTTTATCTTTACAGTGAATTATACTCGACCAGTGATCATATTGGGACCTATGAAAGACAGGATAAATGATGACTTGATCTCAGAATTTCCTGACAAGTTTGGATCCTGTGTGCCTCGTGAGTAACTCAAAGGAAAACTCTTATTATTCCTTTTTTTTTGTTTTCCTGTCACTCTTTGGAACAAAAGTAAACATAATAGTTTTTTATCAGTTACTCCTGCTTTTAAATATTGAACACCTCCCCAAGTTCTTTTCTCTTAAAGATACGACTAGACCAAAACGAGATTATGAAGTAGATGGAAGAGATTATCATTTTGTGACTTCAAGAGAACAGATGGAAAAAGATATCCAGGAACATAAATTCATTGAAGCTGGCCAATATAACAACCACCTGTATGGAACAAGTGTTCAGTCTGTGCGAGAAGTAGCAGAAAAGGTAGGCATCATGTTAATGCAGAATATGGCTTCTCTTCAGACAAGTGTTTGACCGTGTACAAAAAGAATATTTATGAAAGGATACAAGATAAATATTACGTCTGATTACTTTATTATTTTTTATTAATAGTTTGTTAAGCTAATTATTTAATTTTAGGTGGCATAGAAAAGTGTAAGTTTGCATGTAAGATAAAATAGACAATGAAAATGAGAATAGAAATAATACCATGAATCTTCTAAGAGGAGAGATTATTTTGAGGCCTTTTTCCAGAAAACTTGTGTTTAATCCTAGCCTTCCAGCATTTGAGGGACTAAAATCAGTAGTATCCATCAATAGAAATGATTGAAATGTTCAAGATAAGTGCAGCTGTTCCAGTCTTGAAACTGGACAAAAACGTCTCCTCTAGTCTTCATTTAAAGAACAATATGGAGCAGGTGTTGGCACAACAGGTTAAGCACCGTTTGCGAATGCCCACGTCCTATAGCAGAGTACCCAGGATTAAGACCCAACTCCACCTTCCGATCCAGCTTCTTGTTGTTCTGCCTGGGAGGCAGTAATGATGGTTCAGGTGTGTGATTCCCTGGCAAATTCAGGTAGAAAACTCAGATGGAGCTCTAGGCCTATCCTACACTGACTAGGGCATTCAGTGAGTGTCCCAGCAGATGGAAGCTCTATCTTTTGCAGCTCTATCAAATAAATTTAAAAATGTATGCATATTTTTAAAAAGAATCTGACTTAAACAGCATAGCAAAGGGAGAGTGGTGTTTTTTGTTTTTGTTTTTGTGGGGCTGGGGTGGCCAAGGGGTTTTAAAATTGATTGATTTATTAGATTTCCCTGGCAGGGGAAATATCATGATCGTGAAGGTGGTTTACCCAGGGTGAGGCTCACCCATTGCACTCCAGATGTGCTGACTCCTGTGGTTTCCCCAAATGTGAGAAAGTGAACTACTTAATTTGGGGTAGTAGGGGACTGTGTTTGTTCCCTCACCTTATTAAAAAGAAAGAGAGAGATTTATTTGAAAAACAGAGTTAGAAAAGGAAAGACAGAGGGAGGAATTGATCTTCCATCCATTGGATAACTCCCCAAATGGCTCCAGCAGCCAGTCTGAGCCATACTAAAGCCAGGAACAATAACTCCATCCAGTCTGCCACATGGGAGGCAGGGTCCCAGGGACTTTGGCCATCCTCTGATGGTCTCCGAAGCACATTGACAAGAAGCTATATTAGAAGTAGAGCATCCAGGCCCAGCGCATGGCCCAGTGGCTAAGGTTCTCACCTTACCTGTGCCAGGATCCTGTGTGGTCACCTGTTGGTGTCCTGGCTGCTCCGCCTCCCTTCCAGTTCCCTGCTTGTGGCCTGGGAAAGCAGTCAAGGACAGCCCAAAGCCTTGGGACCCTGCACCCATGTGGGAGACTTGGAGGAAGTTCCTGACTCCTGCCTTCGGATCAACACTGTACCTGCCATTGCGGTCATTTGGGGAGTGAACCATCGGACAGAAGATCTTCCTCTCTGTCTCTCCTCCTCTCTGTATATGACTTTAGGATAAAAATAAAATAAATCTTAAAAAAAAAAAGTATATCAGGAAATAGAAGGTGTCTCCCCTTATTTCTCTTCTTTATCGCTTTCTCTCTCTCTCTCTTTCTTTCTCTCTTCCCTTTCTCCTCCCCCTTTTCAAATAGAGACCATGAAAGATAGAGGGAGGGAAGAAGGGAGTTAGGTGTGGGACCAAGCATTCTAAACAAAATTTTAATAAATGTGATCTAAAAAACATGTGAAAAAGTAATGTATTAAATGGTATTTATCTAGTTACTGCTAAATATTTCAACATTAAAAAATCACAGCAATTCACCATATTAAACTTAAAGATAAAACTGTATAACCAGGGGCTAGTATAGTGGTTTGGCTGACTAGTCCTCCACCATCATCCCATATGGGCACCAGTTCAACTCCTGGCTGCTCCACATCCATTCACCTCCCTGATAATGGCCTGGGGAAGCTGAGGAGGATGATCCAAGTTCTTGGGCCCCTGCACCCACATGAGAGATCCAGAGAAAGTTCCTGACTTCTTACACTTGTGTCTGAGAGGTAGCAGATAGTGGCCGTGTGCTTGGGTTCCTGCCATCCATATAGGAAACTCAGTGTGATTGCCTGCTCCTGACTCCTGCCTTCAGCCAGGTCTAGCCTGGCTGTTGTGGACACTTGGGGAGTAACCGTGGGTAGACGATCCATCTCTCTATCCCAGTCCCTCTCTCCTCCCCTCCTTTCTTCCTTTTGGAGAAGTGAAAAATAAGTACAAATACTTTTGGTTTTTTGGTTTTGATTTTTTTAAAGATGCTTGAGAAAAACCTGTGTTTCAAAAGTTGTGGTAAAATCTGTCATAAAAAAATTAAGTGCTGCCCTCTTTAACACAGAAATGTTGATCCATGTGAAAAACCTAAATGGTCTTTGTTAAGCACTTCAGAAAAGTTGCCAGTTAAAGTCAAAATGAAGGAGGAGAATGGTGGAAATATAAAGTCAAATTCATTCATTTTAGAATGCTTGCCCATTGTCCTAGGATCTTTTATATTCTGTTGATCATATGTTATGAAATTATGGTATGGGGCCAGTACAGTGGTTCAACAGGCAAATTGTGTACCTGGCAGCACTGACATCCCATGTGGGCACTAGTTCACATTCTGGCTGCTCCACTTCAGTGCAGTCCCCTGGAAAGCAATAGCCTAGGAAAGCAGCAGAGAATGGCCCGAGGCCTTGGGACCCTGTACCCACGTGAGAGAACCAGAAGAAGCTCCTGGTTAGTGGCTTTGGATTGGCTCAGCTCAGCTCTGGTCATTAATGGCCTTTAGAGGAGTGAATCAGCAGATAAAAGATCTTTGCCTCTCCCTCTCTCTCTGCAGATTTGTCTTTCCAATAAGAATAAATATTTTAAAGTATTTTAAAGAGAGAGACAAAGAGAATGTGTGTGTGAGAGAGGGAGGGAGGGAAGGAAGGAAACATAACAAGAAAGTAGTTTGGGGTTTCTTTTTAAATGCTGTGCCCTGACATAAGATAAGGACACTATGTTACCATTCGGCAGATTACTAGTGTTTGAACGCTAGGAGTATGGTAGCTGTTTTTCATTCTTTATGAAATGGAATATTGGCATAAAAATGGAAAATTGATTATCTTTAAGGTCCATATTTTATTCCCCATCTGAGATATGCTAATAGAAATGATGGATTTGCCTACAGTGATCAAGGATCCAAACATAGGATAAGATATTGTGCCTGCAGGATGAGTACCTTTGCTGTTATTGGAGAGAAATGGTTCACCTGTTTTCTGTTTTATTCTTAGGGCAAGCACTGTATTCTTGATGTATCCGGAAATGCCATAAAGAGATTACAAATTGCACAACTTTACCCAATCTCCATTTTTATTAAACCCAAATCCATGGAAAATATTATGTAAGTATGATTTCCTAAATTATGGCCTCTAAATGCAAATCCAGTTGCTATTTAACTGTTTCCCATCCCCTGCAACTCTACTTGTAAAATTTGTAAAATGTTCACCTTACAGAATGTTGTGAAGATTCTAACACATCTTCAACATTGTTAAAGTATAAGATAACATGTATGTATTACAATGTAAAGCTTGAATAGCCACATGTGTGGCTACTGAATTAATTGAGCTACATAGCTATAAGGAAACCATTGCAATGGTAAAGGGATGTATGTATTCCTACCTCTTAATATGGAGAAAAAATAGAATCTGCATTAAAAAATTATTAACAAATAGAAACAAAAAATGGGTGCAGCAAAAGAACATTGGTAGTAAGATGTTATAAATTAGCTGAAATAAATAGAACAATGTCACCGGTCTACTAGTAGGTAGATTAAATAAAAATGATTAAAAACGAGGGTTTTAGGAATGCATGTTTAACAAAACAAGATTACACCTAGGGTGAGTATTTGGCACAACCTTTAAGATGCCACAGGGGACAGTCCATCCCATGTTGGAATGCCTGATTCACTCTTGGCTCTGCTTCTGATTAAACTTCCTGCTAGTACACTTCCTGGCTTAATTGCTTGGTTACCTGCCTACCATGTGCAAAATCAGATTGAATTCCTAGTTTCTGGCTTTCAGCTTATTTAGCTATTGCAGTAATTTAAAAATTACTCAACTTATGTTACATGCTTTCAAAGGGTTGAAAGTAGTCAAATAGAAAAAGATACATCCTAAGAATATAAGCCAGAATCATACTAGCTTATATTGTTGTTAGAGTACATTTTACAGTAAGAAGGATTACTACAAATGAAAAGGAATATGAAAAATTCACTCCACCAAAAAGATATGTTTGTTTGTTTGTCGAAGCTTAATGGTAGTAACAAAATATGTAAAGCACAAATTGACACCTGTGTTGTAGGGGGAAAGATAATTCCTGAGAAATCAAATAAGGACACAGATTCTATGTGAATATAAATCAGAACAATTTAAAAGCTCTCTGAAGCACACCTTGGCCACAGTAGTGAAAATGCCACTTGGGGCACCCACGGCCTATATCAGAATTCTTGGATTTGAGAACAGCTACTGTTGTGATCACAGTTTCCTATTGCACCCTAAGAGGTAGCAGATGATGAATTAAATGCATGAGCCCCCTGGCATGCACATGGGAGACCAGGATTGAGTTTCAAGCTCCTGGCTTTGGCCTGGGCTGGACATTTTGAACCAATAGATGAGTACTTGCTTTCCCTGCCTTTCAACCTGAAAAATAAAATTTTTTTAAGAAAAATGAACTTGGTCACATCACAAAGTAAGTGTCTTCATTCCTAGAGACACAACATAATTTGGCCATGTATATACCAAAACATTTGCTAGATTGCAAATAGAAGTACTACTCAAGATAGCAAAAAATTAGAATGCCCATCTGCAGAAGAGCACATAAATTATAACATTCACAATGACACATTCCACCATGATGAGAATGAGTAGTCTCTACACAAAAATATGGAAGAATCTCACAAAGATGAATAAAAAAATCCAAAAACTGCATACTCTGATTCCAAATTTGATCATTACTTAGGAAGTTACCCTTTATATAGAACTGACTCGAATGGATACAGGTAATGTTCAAAGTATTAAAAATTCAAGTGTATGTACTCTTGTAAAAAAATTGCTGTATATTTCTCACATTTGGTTTTGTTTGAAAGTTGTACTTCAAAACAGTATTGAAAAAGAAATCAAAAATCAAAATAATCTGTATTTAATAAAGACCTTGAATCTCATTTAGAAAGTCTTTCCACAAATAGAATTCCAGCCCTAAAGAACTTCATAAATTCATTCAAATGGTAAAGGATAATGCCCATCTTACACAGATTTTTCAGCTGATTTGTAAGAACATGTTTGATGCCAAAGTCCTGATAAATGACTTTGCAGGGATAAAAATAAGCCAGTCTCACATTAACATAAATGCAGAATTCCTAACCAAAATATGAATAAATTGAATCCAATGATGTTTTGGCTTTTTTGAAAAATATATTTATTTTGGTTTTTGTTGCAAAGTCAGATATACAAAGAGGAGGAGAGGAAGAACTTCGGTGCACTGATTCACTCCCCAAGCAGCCACAATGATGGGAGCTGATCTGCTCTGAAGCCAGGAGCCTGGAGCCTCTTCCAGGTCTCCCACACGAATGCAGGGTCCCAAGCCTTTGGGCCGTCCTCAATGGCTTTCCCAGGCTACAAGCAGGGAGCTGGATGGGAAGCGGGGCTGCCAGGTTCAGAACCAGTGCCCATATGGGATCCTGGCGCGTGCCAGGGGCAAGGACTTAAGCTGCTAGGTTACTGCAATGGGTTCTTATAGTGTTTTAATAACAAGATATAGCAACCAAGGTGAATTTATTCCTGGAATGCCAGAATTGTTTAACATTTAAAAACATCAGAGATGGACATATTGCTTAACAGGATGCCATTTGAGAGGTCAGTACTGTGGCCCATCATTTAAGTCACTGTGGTGTCAGCATCTCATATGGATAGGACAGTGGAAATTAATGAGTCTGAGGAACAGCAGGATTGAAGAAGTGAACGAAGGGTAAGGGAGCTCGTGGGATGTCACCAGTTAACCAGTGTGTACATGGTGAGAAATAAGGGACACCGGGATGACCTGAAGAAATGAGCATCCCAGATCTGATAGGAGATAGTGAATGTACACATCCAGAAGTACACTGAATTCTAGGTAGGATAAATTCCGAGCTCCACATTAAGATACATATAATCAAACTATTGGAAAGCAAAAAAAAATATATATATATATATATATAGAAAGAAGCAAAAGAGAAGGCAGTCATCATATACAAAAGATTTTCCAATAAGATTACCAGCAGATCTTGTATCAGAAACTTTCGAAGCTGAAGGCAGTGTATTAGTATATTCAAATTAGAAAATACCTGGCAATCAATAATCCTTTACCTGGAGTAGCATGGTGATATATCAAGCTGATCCTCCACCTGTATTGCCAGCATCCCCTAGAAGTACCAGTTCTAGACCCAATCCTCCTCGTTGCTAATAGCCTTAAAGCAGTAGAGGATGATCCCAAGGCCTTGGACCCATGCACCCACTGGGAGACCCAGAGGACACCACTGGCTCCTAGCATCAGATCAGCTCAGCACCAGCCATTGTAGCTGTTTGGGGAATAAACCAACAGATGGAAGATTTCTCTTTCTCTACCACTCCTTTCCTCTGTAACTCTCATTTTCAAATAAATAAATAAATCTTTAAATATATAATAAAAGAATTATATGGCCAGCAGAACTATACTGCAAAAAATGAGAACTTGACACACTGTAAAATAAATAAAAGTTAAGTTTCGTTACCACTAGACCTACCTTACAAAAAGTTTCTCAGGGGAATCCTACAGGCAAGATCAAGGGATACTAGACAATAACTATAAAAATATCAAAACAAGCTTCATACTTGATGAAACACTAAAAATACCTCCTCATAAGTTGAGAACAAACACCCATTAACTCATCATGTGGCTGTAACATTGTTACTAATTTAAGACCGGTCTTGTTTCCTCCACCCCCCACCTCCTTACCCTTCAACTCCAGATTATTTTGAAACAGATGCCGGAAACTTCAATTTACCCATACATGTTTTTGAAAAAAAAAAAAAAATATCACCACTCTGTCTGTCATGCTTAAAATAATTACCAGTATTTCCTTTACATCATCATGTTGTCCAAATATTTCTTAATTTTTTTTATTTGTTTTTAGCAAGATCCCAAAAGAGCTATTCTTTTTCTCTTATCCTTTCTTTCCCATTTGTCTGTTAAAGAAATCAGGTTAGGGTTGCCTTCTCATGAAGCTGTTTAGAATGCCCATGTGTCGCCTTTGTTTTCTCTCACTTGGTAAGTCAAATTGTAATATGAAATAGTCGTGAAAAGCAAAACTGTCACAAATCTGTGCTTAAGTTCCTAGCTGTTTTGAGCAATGCAGAATATGTTGAAACTCTTCAGTCATTCCAATATAAAGCAGCATGATCATTGTCAGAATCTGTTTCTAATGTTCTTAACAGAGCCTTGTTTCTCATGATGTTTTATTTAAGTCTTCTCTCCTTTGTTGTGTTTTTTCAAGTACTGTAATGAGGCAGTTTACCAATTTCTTAATTTGTTTGCTTTAGGGAAATGAATAAACGTCTAACAGAAGAACAAGCCAGAAAAACATTTGAGAGAGCCATGAAACTGGAGCAAGAGTTTACTGAACATTTCACAGGTCAGAACCTATGATAATGCCCTTAATAGTCACATTTTTGCTTAGCAGCCACCTGACCTAACACAAATTGATTTTGAACTTTGACTGTGTCTACCAGTTGTAACCAATACTGTCATTTTAAAAATAAACCTGCAATTTCCTGTGAGAAATTGACTTAGCCTCAACAGTCATATTGAGAAGTATTGAAGTTTATCATTTAATATAATGTTGATTAGACGGTAAGTACAGGAAAAAGCCATACTTCACCTCAGAAAATTTGATTTGGACTTGGTTTTTTTTTCTCTGAAACTGCTTTTATGCTTTATAGATCTTGAGCCATTTTCCCAGCTTTATTGAAGTATAATTGACAAAATGTATCAATGTTCGAGGTATACAATGTGATTTGATGTATGTATGTATACATTGTGAATTGATTACCAAACTCAAACATATCTGTGGCCGTCAATGTGGTGCAGCAGGTTGAGCTGCCTGCAATGCCAGCATCTCTACACTTACTACCCAACTCCCTGCAAACGCCCGTGGGCAGGCAGCAGGAGATGACCCAAGTCCTTGGACCCAATTGGAGTTCCTGGCTTTCACCTGGCCCAGTCCCAGGCTTGCAGCAATTTGTCTCCCTCCCTGTATATCACTTTACTTTTCAAAACATAAATTATTTTGAAAACAAAAACTTTTTTAAAAGGTTAACATATCTGGTGCCAGCACTGTCAGGGATGAACTATGATCTGAGGGCCTGTCAGTATTGTTACAGTGGCAGTCAGGTTCCAGTAAATGTTGCAAACGTCATTCAAATCATAGCAATATGATAGTAATACCTTTAATTTTTTTAGAAACTCCCAGACTGTTTTTCAATAATGGCTCTACTAATTTACATCCTTCTAACCTTTTGCAAGTGTTCCTTGTCCTCCACAGTCTAGTCAACACTTGCTATCTTTTGTATAGGTATCTAAGCATGAAGGAAGTGATGCCTCATTGTGGTTTTGATTTTCATTTCCCTAATGATTAGTGATATTGAGCATCTTCTCATATGCCTGTTAGCCACATGGAGTATCATCTTTAGAAAAATCTGTCCTTTGTTCATTTTTTAAAAGTACAAAAAAATCCAGTTTCTTGCTACTGAGTTGTATGAGTTCTTTATGTCTTTTGGGTGTTAGCACGTAATCATGTATATGGCTTATAAATATAATCTCCACTCCCATTAGGTTGGCTTCTCATCATTGTAATCGTCTCTTGCTGCCTACGAGCCTTTCCTTTTGATACAGTGCCATTTGGTTTCATTGTTGGGAAGTTTTGTGGTCACATCCAGAATGTCATTGTTAAGAACCAGTGTCAGGAAATCTTTTCCTTTGTTTTATTTCAGAAATTGTATGATTTCAGTTCTTATGATGTGAGTCCTTAATCCATTTTGAGTTAACTTTTATACTTACATATGATTTTACAATATTAGATAAATAGCCCACATACAAAAGATCAAGACATTATCAAAGACACTAGCCTTCAAGGTTAATTATTCTTTGGCTCATTTAAAAACATACTTAAGTCTTTAAAATGGGAATGGGTATTTGGCATGGTGAGTTTCGCCACCGCATGGGACATCTGTGTTCAGTGTTGGAGTGCTAAATCAAGTTCTAGCTACTCTACTTCAGTGCAACTCCATGCAGATGTGGCTGCAGGCAGAAAATCATGGCCACACACACATCCCTATCAATAGCACTTTTTAAATATTACTTATTTAAATTCAGGTGGGTAGCAGTTTCCTATTATGTTACTCAGTTCATCCTTTTACATATCTTTGGGCTCAGTTTCGCTTTTTGGAGGGTTTTTTGTTTGTTTGTTTGTTTGTTTGTTTTGCTTTTTTTATTGGAAAGGCAGATACTAACTGCTGCATCAACTTAACAAACTAAACAAAATATGTGTGTTTCTGGGGCAAGCATTGCGGTCCAGTACATTAAGCTACCAATAATAACACTGGCATCCACTATCAAAGCTCTATTTCAGGTCCTAGCTGCTCTGCTTGTCATTCTGCTCCCTTCTAATAATCCTGGAAAGGCGGTGGGTGTTGGCCCAAGTGCTTGGTCCCAACCACCCGTGTGGAAGACCGAAATGGAGTTCCTAGCTCCTGACTTCAGCCTGGCCCAGCCCTGATTGTTGTGGATAGTTGGGAACCAAACCGGGAGGTTGTTCTCTGTGTCTACTTTTCTTCTGTGTCACTTAGCCTTTCAAATTTAATAAATAAAAATTTCCCAAAACAATTCTTGAGTGACTCCTCAAACAAATAGTTGTGCACTGTTGTCAGTTTCAGCTTTGAAATTCTGTGGGCTTTTGTCTTGTGCTGTTTATGGTTCATGCAGATGCCAAACTGGTGGACCAAATATTTGGTCATATGAATCATATTTAAAGGGACATTAAGACACGTGTTCATATTTAACTCAAATTGTGAACTTGGGGTGTGGCATTTGACCTAGTTGTTATGCCTAGGTTTGCTAACCAACTCTACTCCTGCCTCTACCTTCCTGCTGATGCAGATGCAAGGAGCGAGTGGTGATCACTCAAGTTAGTGGCTCCTGCTTTACCCTGGGAGCTCACTCATTTGTTCTGTCCCTCTTTCTCTCTCTCTCTGCCTTCCGTATGGGTGTTTGAGTGTCGAGTGTCTGCCTCTCAAATTTTCTATAAAAAACAGTAACTTTCACAAAACTAATACTTGTGAATATTGTGTTATTTAAAGCTATTGTTTACTCAAGAAATCTTAGCTGTTTTATGTTTTAAACTCTCGCTGCATATATCCTTTTTCTTACAGGTATATAATCTTGGTCACCAGGCAGATAATTTTTTTTAAGATTTAATTATATTATTGGAAAGTCAGCTATACAGAGAGGAGGAAAGACAGAGGAAGATCTTCCATCTGATGATTCACTCCCCATGTGAGCGCAACGGTAGATGCTATGCTGACCCGAAGCCAGGATCCAGGAACTTTTTCTGGGTCTCCCACGCAGGTGCAGGGTTCCAAAGCTTTGGGCCACCCTCAACTGCTTTCCCAGGCCACAAGCAGGGAGCTGGATGGGAAGTGGAGCTGCCGGGATTAGAACCGGCGCCCATATGGGATCCTGGTGCATTCAAGGCGAGGACTTTAGCTACTGGGTCACGCCCCCAGATAATTTTATTTAAAACTCCATGTAATACTTGATGCTGGGCTTCTAACACCACAATAATCTATATTTACGATGCTTTTCCGAACTCATTGAGCATTTTTTGCAATTTAATATATGACTTGCCTTATAGCTCTAAATCCTTGCATTTAGATAGAAACATTTTTTTTGCTTCTTTAAAAAGTTAAGGTAAGTTTAAGGAAAAATGTTATAAAACGATTTGTTTTAAATCAACAAATTACATTTACAAAGTTTCAAAAATAAAGTGTTTTATATTGTACAAGTAGTAAAAGCGATACCTAAACAGTGACTCTTCCTGGATGAGTATCTGTCACACAGCTCAGATTTAATTCTGTTTGGCCAGTGCTTGTTAAGATAGGCCAGTAACGGAAGCTCTGACTTGTCTGTCATTACAGCTATCGTGCAGGGAGATACGCTGGAAGACATTTACAACCAGGTGAAGCAGATCATAGAGGAGCAGTCTGGCCCTTACATCTGGGTTCCAGCCAAAGAAAAGCTATGAAGAAGGCGTGTGTCTGCTTCTCTCCCGCCGTCCGTCACCTGCTCTTCGACACTTCTTTGCCTTTCCTCTGGAGTTCGTCTTCTGGACTCCTTTCATGTCGAATCATGTCCCACTCATCATGGTCTGCAGTTGCACTTAATTTTGACAAATAGTGTCTCCTTCAAGTTGCATCGTCTGTATTACTCTGTCATTGTTGGTTTGTGGCCATTTTTCGGAACTGAAGATGGAATGGCCTGACCAGCTATTAAGGGTTTGGGGAGATACGGAAATTGTGGTAAAATTCCTTAATGTTTAAGGGAAAGTAAATTTAAGAGATTTTCAGAAAAGCTTTATATACCTTCTTTTCAAATTTCAATATAAATGAAAGAAAAGTTGTTTAATCAGTGATTTCGTAGACTTTGAGCAACTATGCACGTTTAACTTTAATAGCATGGTTTGGCCAATGTATTAGCTATCAAGTCCTTTTCCCAATTGACTGCTCTTATCAAAGTGATTTCCCTGTAGGCATAAAAAATGGATTTTTAATTTCAAAATTAATGTCTGAGTTAGCTTTCATAACTTCACAAGGGATATTCATTTTTCATAAGAGTTCTTAAAGTCTTCTATTGTTTGAGATTTTATTTCCCAGCACATTTATCAGAAATAACGATGTTCAACCGTTTTTAATCTACTTGTGCAACACTATTTATAGTGTCCTACAAAAGTTGTTCATACATAGCAGTCATCACATTTTCTGAATTGAGGACATGTCTAGGTGCTAAGGGAACTCACCTTTTACACAGAAGGTTGAGAAAATCTCATAACCGCAGACATTACAGTGGTGATTTAGTAATTACTATGGCAATGAAAAAAAAAGTCCAGTTCATAGCCTAAAACTTTAAATGTATTCTTAAGGGTCAGATTTTAATGAATATTTTACCCACAATAACTGCCTATTTTGTTATAATAAAATATATAAATAAATATATATAAAACTTTCTTTAAACTCTGTAACTATGGGAATTATTTTCTTTACATAGTTGCACACACACATATATATATATTTAAAATATATTTTTTTTCTTTTGCCACCTACTCCTTTTTGTTTGGTTTTTTAAATTAAATATGAATTGATTAGACCTCTCTTTAATCATATGAACTGAAAATAGGAGTACGGTGGTTGTGAGGAGAAACCTCTAGGGAATTAGATTACCAGTCAAAGTATGGGCATGTTCTCCTCTTTTCTACAGAAGTTTGCAAAGAGTTCCTGGGTTGTCATTTGTTTATTTTTGTCATTGTTCTTGTCATTAGGTTTGATTTTTGGCCCTTTGCCTTCCTTCTGGTTGTGTTCCTTGCACTGATTGGAAACAGGCTAAAAGCTCCATTTCTGTGTGAGTTTTCTCCTTAGACACCATTTGTCTCGTGCGGCTGCTCTGCCCCAGGGTTACACTGGTACTCCCGGAGAGCAGTAGCGACAGGCAGCAATGACTTCAGAAATCCGTTTCTCCAGTCCTTTACATCAGTAACAGCATTTGGCTTCCCGTTGCTCCTTGGAATTGTTTATTAAGTATGTGTTTTTGACAGCCTCCTCGTCACAATTTCTTAAGTGAGTACTGGTTTGTAAAGAATTATTAACATTATCCATTCCATTTATGAGAAAGAGGAGAACAGCTAATAAACTTTATTGTAAAATCCATATGTTAAATGTGTCTTGAATTTTGAAAGAAGTATTTTACAAGCTAACATTTCCTTGCATCAATTTGGACAACACCTAATTGGTAACTTGAAGGCAAACTAATAAAATTTTCTTCTGCAAGTCTTGGAGCAGAGTATATTATATCATATATATATATATAGTTGGTATAATTCAAGTATGTTGTTACCAAACATATATACTAGAAGAAAATTGTAAAATCTCAAGAGCTTCAAACCTTGCAACAACACCCCAGTATAAACCACTTCCAGGTATTCATCAGTTACACATTACAAAATATCTAATCAGGTATAAAAGGTTGCCATTTATTGAAATCTATATTACATTGCTTTCTGGGTGTCCTTAGTAAGCAATTTTTTTTAATACTTATTTGTTGGAAAGACAGATACCACAGAGAGGAGGAAAGACAGAGAGAGCAAGATCTTCTGTCCGATGGTTCACTCCCCAAGTGACCTAAACGGCCAGTGCTGTGCCAATCCGAAGCCAGGAGCTTCTTCTGGGTCTCTCACGTGGGTGCAGGGTCCCAAGGCTTTGGACTGTCCTCGACTGCTTTCCCAGGCCACAGGCAGGGAGCTGGATGGGAAGCAGGGCTGCAGGGATTAGATCCTACATCCATATGGGATCCTGGAGCAATGAAGGCTAGGACCTTAGCTGCTAGGCGACCATGCCGGGCCCAATGTCAGTGGGTTTTTACAAACAAGGAAACACTCCTCCTGAGAGTCATGTAATTACCAAGGACAGATGCATCCCAGCTGAAAAGACTGGACACCAGTCAGTCTTTCACACTCATGGAAACGTCAAGAGCCTGTTGAGAGGCAAAATTGAGATCCTGTTATTCTAACGTATTGGAAGGAACAGTTTAACACGTTTATGAAATGTTTTATGTTTGTATGCTTTGGTATCCTTTTTTTTTTTTTTAAGATTTATTTTTATTGGAAAGTCAGATATACAGAGAGAGGTAGAGAGACAGAGGAAGATCTTCTGTCTATTGATTAATTCCCAGGTGCCCGCAACAACCAGAGCAGCACTGATTCAAAGCCAGGAGCTTTTTTCAGGTCCCCCATGTTGGTGCAGGGTCCCAAGGCTTTGGGCTGTCCTCAACTACCTTCCCAGGCTACAAGCAGGGATCTGGATGGGAAGCAAGGCTGCTGGGACTAGAACCAGCACCGATGTGGGAACCTTGGTTGTGTGAGGTGAGGACTTTAGCTGCTGGGCTATCGCACCAGGTCCCATGCTTCAGTATCCTTCAGTCAGCATAAACCAACCAACCTCTGAAGTGTGGGAATGTGAAGAGACGTCTCTGGTTGCCTTCCTGTCTTCTAACTGCTGGTTTCCATGAAGATTAGAGCTGAGTCCAGCAAAAACACTCTAGTTACAGCTACTTGTTAAGCACGGTATGGTATTTAAAAACAAAGTGGCAATTCAAGGATTTTACATTTAAGCACAATTTGTTCCCTATAATATGGGAAAATAGGTATTTTGCACATTCCTCTGCCTGACCACTTAACACTGAGGCAAGAGACCTGCCAGTATTTCCTAGTGAATCAGAAACAGCTAGGATTGGAACCTTGAACTCCTAGATAAGTAGTTTTCCTTCTCCATCACACTATATACACTGAGTCTACTAGGTTGTTTAATTCATGGGAGTTTTAATTACTGATTAAAAGCAAGTCAGTAAGGGTTACCATTGCCCACAAGCTAAAGCTGCTGAGATGCCAGCATCTCTTGTGGTTACTGGTTTGTGTCCCAGCTGCTCCACTTACAGTCCAGCTCTTTGCTCATAGCCGGGGAAACGCCGCAGAGGATGGCCAACCCCTGCCACTCACATGGGAATCCCAGATGAAACACTAAGCACCTAGTACCTGACTTGGCCTTCCTGGCCATTACAACCCTGTGAGAAGTGAACTAACAGGTAGAAGATCTCACGAATGAATAACTAAAAAACTATCAGGCCCGGCAGCGTGGCCCAGCAGCTAAACTCCTCGCCTTGAACGCACCAGGATCCCATAAGGGCGCAGGTTCTAATCCCGGCAGCTCCACTTCCCATCCAGCTCCCTACTTGTGGCCTGGGAAAGCAGTCAAGGACGGCCCAAAGCTTTGGGACCCTGCACCCGTGTAGGAGACCAGGAAGAGGTTCCTGGTTTCCGGCTTCAGATGGGCACAGCACCGGCCATTGCGCTCACTTGGGGAGTGTATCATCAGATGGAAGATCTTCCTCTCTGTCTCTCCTCCTCTGTGTATATCTGACTTTGTAATAAAATAAGTAAATCTTTTTTAAAAAAGATCAGTAAGTTGGTATTTTATTGAAGAATTTCTATTCTGAAAAGAACAAACTATTTACTGCTCCAAATGTAGATCATCTGATGTTTCAGTGCAGTTTTTTAAGGATTTTTTTAATTGGAAAAGCAGATTTGCAGAGAGAAAGATAGATCTTCCACCCGCTGGTACACTCCCCAAGTGGCTGCAACAGCTGGAACAGCCAGAGCTGAGCTGATCCAAAGCCGGGAGCTTCTTCCAATTCTCCCACATGGGTGTAGGGTCCTTGGGCAGTAGCCATCCTCTACTACTCTTCCAGGTCACAAGCAGGGAGCTAGGTGGGAAGCAGAGCAACTGCGACACAAACCACACGCTTGTGGGATCCCAGCGGTTACTAAGCGAGAACTTAGCCACTAGTCTGTCATGCCAAGCTCAGTGCAATTTTAAGGATTCCATTTACCTCTCTCCAAACCACACAATGTACAAAATTATGTGTACAAATCAACATCACTTCATCCAGCACAAGGCATGTCTAGCACCCGGTGCCCCTCGACACCCTCACAGGTGCTGCTCCTGCTAAGGGAACACTGTTGTTAAGTATATTTATTTGTCCACAATAAGAGGCACTTTGGCATACAGCTTGTGAATCAACACACAGGGGTCATGCAAACATCACTGCCACATGTGATTCAGAATAAGCTCAACACCCTGGAGAGTGCCACCTCTGCTCACCCCCAAGCTCTAATAGCCTTTGGTCTGGTCCCCGTGCCTATGGTCCTACCTGCCCCAGGATAATATAAATGGAATCATAAATAGTGCAATCTGTTTTAGGTCAAATTTTCCCAATGCCAGTTTGTATTTCTTTGGGACCCAAACCTGCAAGAATCAGACCTCAAGTAGGAATGGCTTATGAAGCTGAGAGCCCCACTGGGGCTCACTCATCCCACCCCCATCACTGCTGTGAGCATCCTCGTTCTGGTGCTAGCTCCCAAGACTGTCGGCCTAACATGGAACTTAAGGAGTAGAGTCAGGGGCCCGGCACAGTGGCGCAGTGTTTAAGGTCCTCACCTTGCACGCCCGGGATCCCATATGGGCGCTGGTTCTATCCCGGCGGCCCAGCTTCCCTTCCAGCTCCCTGCATGTGGTCTGGGAAAGCAGTTGAGGACGGCCCAAGGCTTTGGGGCCTTGCACCCACACAGGAGACCCGGAATAGGCTCCTGGCTTCGGATCGGCATAGCATCGGCCTTTGTGCTCACTTGGAGAGTGAATTTTCGGACGGAAGATCTTCCTCTCTGTCTCTCCTCTCTGTATATCCGCCTTTCCAATAAAAAAATAATAAAAATAAAATCTTTAAAAAAAACTTGTTTACAAAAGAAAGTATATATTTAGCGCAGAACACAAAATGAACACTTAAGAATTTCAGATGCTACGCTGTGGAATAGCAAGTAAAGCTGCTGTCTATAGTGCTGGCATTCCATATGATTGCCAGTTCAGATCCCAACTGCTTTGCTTCTGATCCAGCTCCCTGCTGATGCACAGGGAAAATCAATGGAGGGTGGTCCAAGTGCTTCGAACCCTGCTCGCAAATGGGAGATCCAGAAGAAGCTCCTGGGTCCTGGCTTCAGATCAACTCAGCTCTGGACGTTGCAGCCACCTGGGGAATGAATCAGATCTTCCTCTGTCTCTCCTTTCTGTAAATATGTCTTTCAATTAAAAATAAATGTTGTTTTAATTTTAGACTCAATAGTGATAGTCCTGTTGATTATAGTTAAAACCATTGTAATAAAATAACAGGTGCTTTAATAAAGTTATTTTTTTTAAGATCTATTTATTTTCATTGCAAAGTCAGATATACAGAGAGGAGGAGCCACAGACTGAAAGATCTTCTGTCCATTGATTCACTCCCAAAGTGAGTACAGCAGCCGGTGCTGCACCAATCCAAAGCCAAGAGCCAGGAGCTTCCTCCAGGTCTCCCACGCGGATGCAGGGTCCCAAGCATTTGGAATGTCCTCGACTGCTTTCCCAGGCCACAAGCAGGGAGCTGGATGGGAAGTGGAGCTGCCGGGATTAGAACCGGCACCTATATGGGATCCCAATGCGTTCAAGGCAAGGACTTTAGCCGCTAGGCCACCACACCATGTGGGGAGCCACACAGTGGGGTTGGATAGTCTGGATCTGTGATGAGCACCGCTCCTCGGTTAGCAAGACTACGAGGAGTTTCTGGCTGCATGGCAAGGCCCAGCAGCGTGTCTGCAGAGTGTCGCCTCGTTGCTGCCTAACCCCGTTGTATGGACACTCAGTCATCTCTCTGATGTTTCATAGAATTCTCCTGAAGGTGGTGGTGGTGCTTTTCTGCAAATGTGAAATGATTCCTATAATTGGTATAACACCTTAAACTGATCAATCATGCTATGATAAAAACATCTTTAGCAACTTAAGGCAATGACACACAGCTAAAAGACAAACAATAGTACAATTGAACCCACAATGTCTCCAAACATCATGTTATATGCCCACCTTTGTCCTGAAGTTTGCCCTAATAGAAGTCATGTTTTCTTTAAGAAACTGCTTGATGCTATCTTGGAACAAATGGCAAACATGGAGGTACAAAGAGTTTGTTTACCATGCACCTCGAACTGTTACAACACATGAAATGATGCATTTTGGTTTCTCACCACGGAAAGCAGAAAGTATATGGGGCATCTTCTAAAGGGAGACAAATGTGAACCTTCCCCAAATAAAATGGTTTAGAACTTCTACCTTATATTGACACTTATATTTAGGGAAGCAAAACAGTTTATAAAGATAAAAGGACATTGCTTGTAAAGGCCCTCTGTTTGTAGATTGGCTGAGTTGCCCTGATCCTTTCACTGCCCTTTAACAAGAGAGCAAAAGGCAGTTGAACCAGCACTAGGTGAAGGTGGTGGTAATTAATGCATGACCGATTACAAGATTTAAGAAAGAATCTATGTTATATGCTTTTATAAATTCCTTTCATTTATGATCTTTCCTTTTAACTCTGTACTCTTAATATTTTAAGCAATATTAGTTAGTTTGTGTTTAGTGAAAATTGATTTTTG